GGGGGTGGGGCGTACTCTTATGTTTTGCGTGCCTTAACGGTTAGACCATTGACCACGCGTACTCGAGAGGACGGAGCATTGTTCCCACAGGACCGATCACCGATGGCCAATCGTTCCTCCCTACTTTGCCAAAGGTGGCTCAAAAATGTCTTCCCTAGTTTGTCTATCCTAACGATATCCCTTCCCGCCTTTTCAAACCACGTCCTTCTCCCCAGTACAGCTACCGTCCTCTCCTCGCTATATACGTTAAATCATTCTACAGCAATGCTGACCGACCGCGCTCATGCTTTCCTACCGTCTGTTATCTATGTTGCTAACCCGAACACAGAAGGGCTAGAACGCGGCTACTGCTGTACACATGGACACGTAAATATCCCCGAGAGGTTGTTTGCCGATTTCATCACGGTTGTATCCTTATATCTCAATATTCGGTAGGCGACTTTCTGTACAATGATGGGTGCAGGCTATATAGCGCGGTCTTTGCCGCAGATCATACTCTGCTGCAGATCATACTTTTGGTCGCTCTTTCGTACGACACGTTTTTTACCGTGTGTGGTGCGCAACACCAGCATTCAATTGAGTTCCTTTGTTCAAAGCGTTTTGCCGAAGCACGGAGAACATCGAAATGATCCGCATGCATGACCACTCGCTTATCGAGGTGATCCATATTCACGTGTTATGTATGCCATGTACTCCCGCGGTCTGGAAGCTGCTGAGTGCTCCGATGAGGTGTTCACAGTCGTTTCTCTCCATTTCAAGTCTGAACCGTGCTATCTCCGCTTATCGCTGGAAACGCCCCTCTTTGCCCCTCTTACACAGCCCCTGGAGGAACAGGAATTCGAAAAGAAGATGGACGCGCTCAAGGCCAGTGTCGAGTCGATGAAGGACAAAGGACGCGCTCAAGGCGCTGTCCGGGACGTCCTCCCCAGGCTCAGCCCCGCAGGGAGGTAAGGGCCAAACCTCCACTGCCACCGCAGCCCTCGCCACGGTGTGCTTCCTCGCTGTAGTCACAATTCAGTATTTATCGCGTCAGTCAGAGAGCGCACGCGCTAGCGTGTACTGAACCAATATCCAAATGGGTCCGAAGATCTATTGCTGAGTGGTTCGGTGAATTCGCGCAGCGTCCTTTAAACGCGTTGAACAGGAACTTTTTTTTTCTCCCACGGTCGTTCTGAACGAACATAGCCCCTCCACCTTGCAAAGGGTTTTTAGTAACACCCGGGAGAATAACGTAGGTACGTATGTACGTCCATTTCCACGGCGAAGTACTTTATTCACTTACCCTCCGTCAAGTGGCTTGAGAGCTCGCACAAATCCCAAGAAAAAACAAGACTAGCGGCGGGTACTTGTGCGCCGATCTATAGCCTTACGAAGATCCTCCGGTCGCTAAAATGATAATGCATGAAGCCCCTTTCTGTTGGCCAAAAGGTTCGTTTCAGCATTTTTCCCATTAGTCTCGGTTCCGCATAAAATACATTTCGGTTTGGCTGGCCCCCAAGCTTCCCCGAAGGTGTTTATATTCCGCACCTCCCCCCGACAAAGGCCTGTGAAATGAACAAGGCTACGGGCTTCCATTGTTCAACAGCCTCGGGGAAGCCCTCGATCTCATCGCGGAGAAGAACCTGCAGGAGAAGGCCTTCAACCAGACGTGAGTGTAGTGTTCTCTCCTAGGACAGCCAACCGAGCGTCTCCGACGACATGCTACACCGGCCGTGCCCAGTCAATTTTTTCGCACTAATATATGGTATCCACTATGGATTGACGCGGAATTTTGACCTTTGAGGATTGACGCCAACATAAAGTAACGGTTGAGGGTTTTGACGGGAAAAAAATTCGCACCGCGTGTGCCCGTTGGCACGTGGTAGGGAAAAAAAAAAAATGGTGATGTAGAGTTGCCGCGTTAAACGCCGGTCATGTGTTCACGACCCCGGGTTGGTTCGGGATGCCACCCAGGGACGACATGCTGAAGCGAAGACTCACACTCCCAGGCTCCCAGGAGACTAGGTGTACCCCTCCGCCTCATCCCGCCGACCTTCCCTCTTTTGCCGCGGCGACTTCCCAGGCGTCAAACTGCCGTTGCTGAGTGAGGCAGCTGCTCGCTGTACTGCTGTGTACCGATGTCACTGCGGCAGCAGAGCACCGAACCCCGTGAGGGGGCGGGCAAAATGCACCTACTGACTGGCCAAGTCCGTGTACCCTCCCTTAATCCTCTATATGTGCTCCCTTCGAGGGCGGGACTCCCCCGATTTCTGCCTATGCCCCTTTTTGCTGCTGAAAGCCCGTGCGCAATCGCGATGGCTCATCTACCGAACGCGCGCGCCGAACACGCGAGTCCGGCCACTGGGCCGCCGTGAGAACTGCCGAGACGTGTGTGTGCAGGACCGCTAGGAGCAATCAGTAGGCATGGCCAATGTGTTCGCTGCTGACCGCGCTCCTTTCGTGATTTGGTGATGGTAACAGAGCACAGAGCAAGCGTGTGTGAGCCACAGTCTGGCGACATTGGAAGTGTCAATCTCTTCGCGTCGGTGTAAGTTTTGACGCTTTTTCACAAAAATTTCGCCGTCAGAGTTTGCCTCCAAAAACGCGGCGTAACCTCGTCACGTCAAAACTTCCTGAAATGTCAATCTTTCACGTCATTTCAACAACACGTGGATTCCCTCTAATATATCGCCCAATTTATGCGCACCAATCGTTCGCCCAAGAGGCGTCGGGCCATGCATTTCCTGTCGCTGTGTCGGGAGTGTCTGAAGTTGGAACGTTTTGGGCTTATGAATCACTCTCATGTCCCTCCACTCCCCCTCCGCTCGCAGGGTGCGACACCGTTTGGGCCGTGTCTTCGACAAGGTCGTCAAGGCTAGGAATCGGGCGGCGGAGATGATCACGTCGAAAGCGATCGCGAACCAGATATTGAAGACGGCCTCGAGTCCTGCATCGGCCGCGGTTGGATTGGCAGACGGGGCGAGGGCCGCCGGAACAGCAGGAGAGGGTTCTCGAGTCCTGCATCGGCCGCGGTTGGAGCGGCAGACGGGGCGAGGGATGCCGGAACAGCAGGAGAGGGTTCTCGAGTCCTGCATCGGCCGCGGTTGGAGCGGCAGACGGGGCGGGGGACGCCGGAACAGCAGGAGAGGGTTCTGGATAAGGCTGCCCCCTCTCAACGCCGTGGGTGTGTGTTTCGTTTTCTAGAGCATGGCCTACAGGACAGAGCAATTCTGTTTGATTCCGCTTCATGTTGTGGTCTTGCGTGTGTCTTTGTTTTGTCTGTTTTGTTTTTTTTTCACCGTCATGGGACAGGGTAGTGACGCTTGCTGTTACTGTCAAGCGCTGGGGGTGTAATACTGTACGTCCACGGATGATCATGTTTTTGTTCGTTTATTTTTAGGCTCTCCCGCTGGTTTCGAGAGAGAGGCTCGGAAGGGGTGCGTGCGTGTTCAATTTTCCTGATAATGTGCAAGTATATTAGTGAGTCCCTCGACGCTGCTTCAGGGAGGACGTTGCTAGAGTCGTCGAATGGTCGCGGTAGTATATTTGCGTAGGAAAGGGCCTTTTATGCCCTCTGCCCCGTGATTGTGTTGTGGTTTGGTTGCTCTTTTTGCCTCTGTCATGAACAGGCCGGTGTGGTGACTCTCGGTTGCTTTATTTTTGGTCGTGCGGGCATGTGGGGGAGCTGCGTGTTGTAGGTCTGTTGTTGTTTCTAGCTCTGTCGAGGGACAAGCGGGGCGTGATGCCTCGGTTGTGGTGTTTTTTTGTCGTGCGGGCATATGGTGGGCAACTGGGCCTCGTTCTTGGCGGAGAGTAAGGTGAGGGCCGAGGGCAATATCTACTGGCGAACGTGCTTAATAGCACCCATTAGATGTCGTCGATCTCAACAACAGCCGCTGGTGGGCCACTGCCTTACCGTCCACGAACATGTTCAATGGCACCCGATCTCAACAGCCGCTGGTAGGCCATTGAAGGAGATGCGTCCAGCCGCCGGACTAGATCAATCGTAGCGGTGGTGTTGTGATAATATGCATAGAGCGCCGTGGTGTGTTGAGTTCCTTTTTTTTTGCTCTCCCGCTGGTTTCGAGAGACTCAGCGTGCGTGTTCACGTTTCGTCATACTGTGTACTTGTTCTAGTCCCTCGACGCTGTGCGTCAACGAGGACGTTGCGAGAGTAATCGAGTGGTCGCCGAAGTCTGCGCGTAGAACGAAAGAGACGCGGTCTTTTGCCTTCTGCACTGTGACGCTGTTGTGGTGTGCTTGTTTTTATCTTTGCCATGGAAGAGGCGGGTCTAGTGACTCTCTCGGTTGTGTATCTTGTCTGTACTGCAGTTGTCTACGCACATCGATGGTCGGTGTCTGTTGTTTACGTGGCTTTCGCTTAACAAGGAAATACCCGAGGAATTAACAAGGATATACCCGAGGAACTATAGGATATATTAAGCCACACCATCTCCATACTTCAAGTCTGTGGCGGGTGTGCCGCCTTCGCGATGTCGGCAGAGCGAACGAGCCTGCCTATCTCGTACGTTCGCCGGCCCTGCCAGTCAAAAGTATTCAGTAGCACCTTAGCCACCCCACGTTCGCGAACGAGCCTGCCAACCCCACCCTCGCGAATAACCTTGCCAACCCTACGTACGTGAACGGGCCTGTCAATCCCACTTTCGCGAACGAGCTTGCCGACCCCTCATTCGTGAACGAGCCTTGGCAATCCCACGTTCGCGAACGAGCTTGGCAATCCCACTTTCGCGAACTATCCTTGCCAATCACACGTTCGCGAACGAGCCTGGCAATGCCTCCCTGACGACTAAGCCTGACAATCATCGCAGGAAACGAGGTTGCCAAACCTTTTGTTCTGTCCGAGGGGTTGCCGAGGTTGGTAACAGGACAGAGGTTGGACAACCCAGTGGACTCTTCAGGGGCTCGACCTTGCCGATGACCCCCCCCCCCCCCCCCTTGGAGGAACGTTCCCCAGGGGGTTCCACCCCCTTTCTACCCCCCAAAAACCCTCTTCCGAAATTTACCCCCGTAAGGGCTGAGCTGAATCTTCCGAAAACCCCCCCCGTCCTAAAAGGGGGAAAAATTTTCCAACGAGCCCAAAAAGACCTGGGGGGCATTCTGGGAATTCTCCTCCTCCGCTAACGTCTTCCCGGGGTCCCCCCAAAAGTTGCCGTCCCCCCCCAGGGAGCTCGCTTCCCTGACCCCCTTGGGGCCCTAAACCTGGG